GGCATATTAGCATTTAAAAATCAAACTTTAAACAAACTAAGTTTCGTTTACATATTTTAGGTTATGAACAACTGTTTCAAATAAATAATAAAATTATTAATTTTTTTATTTAATATTAATATTACTCAAAACCTTTACTTTGAAGTGAAGAAATGAATAAAAAATTATTAAAACATGAAAACTTCGGCACGATAGAACTTTTAGATCGCAGTGCATGATACCTTCTTTTCAATAATAATATTGAAAACTTTGGAAATAGTACTTAGAATTGATTCTTGGATCCACCCGCGGTTACACTCTTCACTATTAATTTATTATTATTGGACAATAAAGCAAAAGGCCTGTCAATATTTTGAAAATTTTTACCCGCTTAGTAGAAACCCGTTTACTTAAAACAGTATTTCATTATCTATAACTGTTTATATGTGTTCCATATATTGTTATAATAAATTAAAGATAAAACGTGTTTAAATTAGCTTAAATTTAAAATTCAAATTGTATTTTTACAGTAAAACTGTCAATTCAACATTCTTTCGAACTACTCAGAGTAGTGACGTAGTAGTCTCTGATAACAGCAAATACGAGAACATGCGGGCAAGACTGGAAGATTGAAGTGTAAAGCTCAGTTCTTATCGAAACAAAAAAATATATGGTAAGACTGGAGATATATAATGCAATCCATAGGTTAAAAACCTCACTGAAGAGCTTTGTAAAAAATTGCTTCTCTCGAAGTTAATCAGAGTTTGATTAGTCAATTGAAGGGAGAAGAAACTAAGTGATAGAAAGATAACTCTTTAAATTTTATTTGCTTGTCTGACTTTTTAGTCGTACGAACGCTAAATAGCGAACACAAAACAGAAATTAATTGATTAAAAAACATTACATTTTAGTAAAATAAAAATTATTTATGTTTTTGTTGTTGCTTGATCAGCTGTTAAGTTTTGTAATACTTTAATTTACTGAGGTGTTTACGTTGCTTGGCGTTCAGTACCGCTTTGACTGCCGACTTCGTAAACAAATGTTTTGCGCGGATTAATTCCGATTTACTTAAAAAAAAGCTTAAAACGTGTTTAAAGTGACGTTTTTAATGTTGGTTTTTTTAAATAAGATTTATGTGGGATTTTTTATAAAAAATAACTTTTACCAGTAAAAATGGCTTACGAAATTAAATTTCATTAATTTAGTATAATTTTTAAGTTCAAGTAAAAAATGTGATATTGATACGCACAAAATATGAATGAATCGTTTAAGGAAATAATATTCGTAAAAGTCTGAATTTAAATCAAATGATATATATATATATATATATAAATATATATAGCATCTATCACCTAACATAAAAAAGTTCAAATAGTTTAAAAGTGTACAAAAAATTAATATATTATAATAGTAAGTTTTTTATATGTTAACATTTATTAAATTCAGTACATATAATTGTTCAAAATAATTTGATAATATTATTAAATAATATATCACAACTTTAAAACTTAGAACAAAAATTTTTTTGTCTGTAAATATGATACATAAAATTGTTTGCGGGCTGCCTGTTTATAAATATTATAATTCGAAAAATGTATAAAGATTTTTACAATTTACCATATGTTTTTATTACCAACAACGATAAGACCACAAAAAAATTTATATAGATTAAGCTATATATTTGCGGGTACTAAAAATGTTGAGTACAGTCAAAGTAAGGAGTGATTGAGTTCTATAAATTCAACTTATAGTTGAGTTACTAGAACTAGAACTAGCACTTTTAGCTAGCTATTATTAGAAAGTTAATTTGTTAACAAAATTTTCACAGCAAAGTAACAAACTCCACAAAAATATGCGAACATAAAGGTCAAACACGGCTTTGGGTCAGTTAGTTAAGAAGTGCTGACTCTGAGCTTCAAATTTGGCAGGGCACTAATTCAATCCCTATCAAAAAATTATTTACAAATAATTAAATACAAGAATTATTTCCAAGAACATTGATGTTGGGTATTTGGAAATAATCGAAACAGCTATATGGTCAGTCAAAAATTCTGTTAATTAAAATAATATAAAATGAAATTTTGTGGTTGTAGTTCACTACTGTTCGAAAAACCTCTTTATTAATAGAAAGTCATATAAAACAAGCTCTTTCAGGAGTATAAGTTCGAAAGTTTATACATTTTGTGGTTCCAAAAGAAAACATAAGTGATATGCGCTTATTAGTAAAACTTCAATTAAATTTATTTAACATATTACTAAATAACTCCACAAGGCATACATATAAACGAAATTTGTTCAATCACATATTTGACACATATTTAGCTAAATATTACCCAAGAGTCTGGAAAGTGGCTAAAACTATGAAGCACACACAAACCAATATAGAGGAATAAGCTTAGTTCTATATCTTTGGTTGCTTGGTTTAAACTCAAACGCTTCAATCGCTAACCAATTATTAATCTACAAATTAAGTATTGCGCAAATGTGTAGATATGTAATTGAGATTTTGGGTACAGCTAACAAGTCCAATATTCAAATCATATAAAGGTTATAATCCAAAATAATAATAATAATAATAAAAATGGCATATTTTGAATGACAACTTACATAGATATCTAGAGATGAACGACATTATGGAACTTCTTTGTAAATCCAGTACAACGCACGCCATTATATAAATTTTCCAAAGGAATAATGAATTAAACCAACCACTAATTAGAGAAACAGCACTTATAATTATTAAATTTTACGTTTATACTCTTCTTTGTAAATTAAATAAATTACTTAATCCCAAAAAGGCAGATATAGTAAAGAAAATATGAAAAAATGGGTGTATATGAACATATTGTTTGGGTCTTGCTTTTAGGTGCAGAATAGAAGCACTTCAGACATATAGAAAGAAAGATGCAAGTGTTTGTCAACAAGTGTCTATGTAGAGTTCGTAAAACATGGTAGCCAACGTGCCTTTTTTAACTTTAACCAAAATTCTGCAGTGTCCTTAGTTGCCTGCTTTCCACTCCCTAGAAAATGTAAATATCGCTTCTATAGTTACATATTAAATTATTATTAAGTACATAATTGTGCTAACCATGGTATATAATAAGATATAAGGTTGAATTCTTAAATATTGTTACTTGTTTTATTGAAAGTTCAGATTATTTTAATAATAGAAACAGAGTTAAATATAATCTTATTACCATGCCGTACATATATATACATATATAGTATGTTTATTGTCTAATTTATTTTAAAATTAAAACATGTAAGTTGTGTTAATTATATGTAACAGTTATTAAAAAGAATCTAGTTAAGTTATATAGATTTTTCAATAATTCTTCCAATTAGTATGCAATACGTAGTTAACAACTTTGTAAAAAAAGTACCACAAACCCATAAATGTCATAAATACATATATTAAACGTTTGAAATGTACTCAAATAAGCTGTTGCGAAAAGTCGAAGCACCATTAATTTAAGTCACGATTTACTTACTTATAATTAACTTGTAACTTGATCAGAATAGAAAGTAAATTCTAATTAAGTTAAATACTAAAAAATCATACAAGTCAAGTCGTATTTTATTTGTCTTTATAAGTACCGTAACTTTGTATAAAGAGTAAATAACTGATATAAACATTCAAATATCTATTCTGCCTTGAGTAATTGACTCTAAACGCGATTACTACTTAAGTGTCTAAAGGTATAAAATAAAAAAATTACAAAAAAAAATCTTATCTAAAATAAATTGTATTGAAACGTGTCATTTAAACCTATATAATTTAGATGGGAGTCACAGATTTCTACATAAAATTTCATGAACTGCGATAAGGTTTTATGAGTATTTCATTTTTTCGAATTATTTGAGCACGAAATGAGTTTTTAAATATAATATCCTATTCTAAACTAGCTACTAACTGTGTTGTTAATGAAAGTTAAATTAATTTTAACTACGATTAAAAACGTTTATCATAACAACAATTTAACCATTATTAAATTCGAGTTGTTAAGTAATCTTCATACTTGTGACCTAACTCCTTTATTCCACCTATGCAAACAGTCAGTGAACAATTTAATTGAAATATATATCTATTAAAATAAATACAAGGTAAAGCATCAGCTAACAGTATTGCAATAGTTCTGTTAAATCTGAAGATTTCAAATCCTAGTATCTGAGGTCTACTTTTGGGTGTTACGATTTTCTATGCAAGATGTATAAAAACCCAGTTTTTGAAGTGCATGTATGCAAGGATTTCGCAGATGTTAGCTAAACAGGATATATTAAAAATAAACATCTGCTTAATCTAAGCAAACCGCTGGCATGTACGGAAATTGATAAAGCCATTCAAGTCTGTTATGTCATTTCCCAACATAAGTCAAATATAGGTTAGGTAGTGGGAACTAAATACTCTATTAATTTAATTAACTATATACTCTCTTAATTTATTAGTAATAACTTTTATTTAATTTTTAAGATAAGTTGTGTAAAAAGATTAATCTAAACTTCCTGCAGACGGCTAAAATGCTATAGCTGTAAGCTTTATATATATAATGTAATTGTTAAAATTTCTATGTTATACAACATATTTAAAATGAAGTAAAATGAAGGTAAAATACTACTAATATTCTCTTAATTAAATTTTAGCAACAGCTGCAAGTTTTGAGCTAAACTCAATTGAAACATAGATTAAATATGATAAGAACATCATCTTAGATTTCGTTAAAGGTTTTAAAAGATTTTTAATCCTATTGATACAATAAACTACCAGCTCTGAATGAGTCCCTAAGTGCACAGAGATTACCAAACCTAAGTTGATTAATTGATTTTTTTGACTGTGAAAATCTATATATAAATAAAATAATTAAATAGCAACTAAATTTAAATATTTATAATATGTGTAATGCCTAGAGGAATGCTCGGCACTGATGAACATAAAGAATTAAGGCTAGGAAAGATAGGGTACTATACTGTCTTAAAGAAATCGGACTTGGAGAAACACATTACCGTGACTAAGGCGCACAATAGATTTTTTTTAGGTCGCAGTGCACTATTCATTATACAAATAATAATAATAATAATATATATATTTAAAAAATATTGATATAACAGAGAGAGAGAGAGAGAGAGAGAGAGAGAGAGAGAGAGAGAGAGAGAGAGACCTATTGCTGATGCTACTTGGAATAAATATAACTCGAATTTACTTTGAAGGAATCATTGTAAGTTTTTTTTTTATCAATTTAGACCACATTTTTTCAAAAGATTACTGTTATCTTTTCAAGTCGTAACCGAGACAGTACATTTATCAACGTATATTGTATATTATTTTTGTTAGTAATTTTTTTATTTTGTATTCATGTTGGATATGTATTAACTACTTGAGAAGTTTATTTTTTAGAACAGAATTAATTAAGGATTTAAATAAAAATTCTTCGGTGGAAGAGTGTGTTGCATAGTTTGAAAGAAATTAGAATATTGTAGCGCAGTGTGGTCACTATATGGTAAATACATCGCAACATTTTTAGACAAAGTATTACAATTTGTGTGAATTCAGAAAAGTAGAGTCTCTTTTAATCTATTCTGTACAATTCTTTTTCAATTTCTAGCTTGAACCGCAATTACTGCAGATAGCAGAGATGTTAACGTCATCGGGTCATTACACTTCTAAGTCAAGCGAATAGAAAATCTCATATAGTTTTTGCCCAACGTAGAATTACATAAATATTGGGTATCTTAAGTCGCTAATCTAGTCATTGTATTCTCACTGCAGTCCAATAATGTTGATACATAAGTCAGCAACTGTTGCTACATCATTCGTAAAACTATTGAAATGCATTTATTCGGATAAATTTTTATATATCAACTGTAGCCAGCGACTGTTGCTGCTAATGTGTGTAGGGTACAAAACCGCATATGCAGAAATAAATAAATTTTTTAATTTAAGACATTTTAAATTTGTTTACACCAGGGTACCAGTCAAACTAGTAGTTGAGCAATATTGACACAGATTTAAAAAATTTCAGTGGTTTAAATAATTGTTTTTTTTTGCAATTATATTCTATACTTTTAGTAGGTAATAAAACGTGAGGGATTTTCCAATTGACATGAGTTTAATATAATATAAAAACTGTATTTTAACATGTTTCATATATTTTCTAAGAAATATTTGATAGAAAATTTTTATATATTTAAATATTTTTTTTATTTATTGAAAATTAACTATAATTATAAAAATTAATAGTGAAATAAATGCTATGACACAAAAAAAAAATTATTCCATTTATTTATTAAACCAGATTAGAAGAGATGAATTACTTTTTGGGATATATTTTGTTATTATTGTAAAATAAATATCTAAATATATATGTTTATATACATTTTTTTAAAAATTCCAGATTTGTATTCTTTTCACGTGTATAATTTTATAAAATCGTTAAGATTAATTTCGTTTAAAATTGTAGTTTAAAATGCTTTAAAATTATTTAAATTAATTCTTTATTAGCTTCATAAGTTTTTATTTCAATTCGAATTTCGAACCTATTGCATTGATTTAATGCAATAAATATATTATTACAGTATTTATCTGATAAATAAGTCTGCTTTGTTGCTTTTGTACTTAACATGATTATAAAATTACTTTCTATTTATCAAACAATTTTGCTCGCATAAATTTGAAATTGTCACGCCATCATAATCGCGTGTAGTGAAGTGGGCTCTCATGAAATACTAAATCATATACTGATAGTATATATATTTAATAGGGGTAGACAAATTAGGCATACAATTGCCTAAACTTGATTATCAAAAAACAAAAAATTCTGTTGTAAAATGTTGCATATAAATTTACCTATGCGTCTATTAGACATTTCCATTTAAAATTCTGCTGAATACTCGTATCAATAATAAGCTTACTAATTTTCAATTTTCAAAATTTAATTTGGTACGAACAGTTTATTATTTCCCCATTATCCACTTAATTAAATTTTATACAAATAAATGTCAATGTTCATAAGACAATATCATTGTTGTTGCAAATTTATTGTTTCTGTTTATGTTTGCATAAAAATTTTGCTCATGCATTCTTCTTTTTTCTGTTTTGTTCCATAATAATATCTACGGTAAGCTCAACCAATGAGTATTGAATAGTCTTTGGCTCAACTCATATGAATATATGTGTTATCAATGAGTGTTTTGAAGTGAAAAAAGTTATCATTTGAGCAGAAAAATATTGTTGTTTTTGGAATCTTACTAGTTTTGTGTGTGTATAGTTTTTGCATTTGCATTGTTGCTTTTTTGTTGTTCCACAAAAATGTATGTGCTTAACTAGCTACGTATGAATGCATTAGGCAGTGAAAAAACAATAAATTAAGAATAAAAATATGATTTAATTGCTGTTGGAAACCTGAAGACTTCTATGTAAATATGTAATATTTCTCCTTTTAAAGAAATATATTGAAAGAAAGGTTTAATTTATACAATTTTCAAGTTTTTATATTACAATGAAATTATTAAAACTTATATTAAATGTAAAAATTGGCAAGATTTTTGCATAGAAGCAACTCTTTTAAGTCCCTACAATATAGGTACATATATATTATATGAGTGGCGTTACATTAGAGGCAACTTCTATAACATAAATTTTAAAAAAAATATTAAAATTTAACGAAATTCATAATTATTTTAATTCAAAAAAATTGTTTTTGTTAATTTAACAAAATTGTTCATTATTCTAAGTTGCTGTTAATGTATTAATTGAGCTTAATGCAGTTTGTCAAATATTAAACCTATTGACCTCTCCTGGAATGTTATATAAGCTATTGATACTTGATAAAAATTTAGCTTAAATATTTTCACAAGCCATCCCAAAAAGGTGGTTATAGTTATTTAGTCTCCATATCTAATGCTCTCCATCTATTGAAAATAATATAAATTTGCATTGTGATTAAAAGCATATTAATTATTTTCATCATTCCGGTAATTAATTAATGAAACAACTTTATGGACTAAGCAAATTAATGTTTCAGCTCCAAGAAAAACCTTGTTTTAGTAAGAATTATAAAATCGAAAATAATTTTTGATCATTTAAAAATTCTAATACAATAATGTTAAATTGCCTAATGAAGTCTTTTTCCTTTATTTGCAGATTTACATTTAATACTTTTTATTGTATTTATAAGGCTTTAAAATTTATCATCGAATTTTAAACCACAGCATTAGTGCTAAGCCTAAGTACTTAGGGGCAGTAAATTTAGTTAAAGACTTATTTAAGTGGAGTTAACTTTGTTTTCCTGTGAATTAAAAACTGTAAGTGTAAACATCAAGGAATTAACTGCAGCAACAAACCAACCTAACCGGAAATTAAAATGGATTTGAAGCATTCAGCAGAGAGTGAAGCTGTTGATGTTTACATTGGTCCAAGTGCATCTACTGATTTTATGAAACCTAAAGATGAATCTGTGAATGACACCAGCGATGCAACGCATGGAGAAAGTAAGTTTAAATAGAAAATTAACTTGCACTTAAATATGAATTCTAACATAAATTGCACTTAATAGATGGATAATTATTTAAAATTATTTCATTAAAGAAAAACAGAATAATTTTAATAAAATACAATCTAGAAAAATGTATATAATGCTTATTAAAATATATTATTTTTTACACACATTAATTTATATTGATTAAATAATAATTATATAATAATGAAATAATAATAATAATAATAATAATAATAAAAATAATAATAACCTTGTACGCATCAAACAATATATTTATATATACGAGTATACTTTTTCTTTAAACTATTTAAGACCATTATTTTTTCTCAAACCTACTTCTTCATCTTTTTTTTATAATTTTATTTAAATGCATCGTCAAAAGCATATACAACAATCTACATTTATCTACTTTCCAATGTATTCCAATTTACCATTCCAAGAATACCAATCTAGAAAGTCAATAAATTTTGCTATTAGGGGAATCTGTCTCAGCATGAGCACTGTTAGGCGTTAATCGTTACATATGAAACTGTAATTAATTATGCTCTAGAACACAAATATGTTACGTGTTTATACATATGTTCGTTTGTATGCCTGAAAAATGGCTAATCAATAATAATATCTTCAGAAACGTAAGTTTTCCCTCTAAATGCCATTAAATGCCTACTGCGAAAATAGTGACTAATGCATTGCTATTCAGAACGCTAATCAAGAAGGAATGAGTACATCCTATTAATGATAGGAACCTTGTATTGAATGTTACATGCTAGGGAAAACCACATACGTATAATGCATAGAGAAGCACTAAAACAAATGAAGTTGGCAAATCATTAAATGAACTTTAATTTATATTTGCTAATAGAAAAAACTATTACATGTAACAAGTCTGTTATCCTGAATTGTAACGACATGCTCTATGTAGATATGAAGATTCCTGGAGTGAGCATAGTGAGCATATTTTATTAGCTTTTAATTAGAAATGGATAATGCTGCCTCAACTAAAACTGTCACTGCGTCTACTGACTCAGTCAACATTCCAATGACTGTTAAATTGACTTATTTCAAAAAAGATCTAGATGATGCTGCTTCAACGAAGATCACCTCTCCATTTACTGCTTTAACTAACACCTAATTAGAGTAACCATAATGAAAGTTTCATTGCAACTAATAACGTATCTAGATTAAATGTGGATGGTAGTGCCTTAAAAAAGACTTCCAATTTATCTACTGACTTTCACTTCATTAACTGACTTATCTAACAACTAATTAGAGTTATATGAGAATAACTTAAATAAGACTTCCATTCCGACTTCCATTCTGAAACTTCGACTCCGAGTACTAGCTTAGTAAAAAGTTGATTAAAAATCTAATAATGATCTCTTAAGTGAGTTTCTCTTTTAAACTACTAATTCAATTAACTTCAGATTAGATCTCGATGGTGGTGTACCAAGTTAGATTTACACTCCGAATATTAACTGAAATAAGTTCTGATTAGATCTGTATGTTGGTGTGTCCCAATTGAGACTTACACCATTAGCTAACTCAATTCTTTTCTCATTATATCTGGATAGTGAAGTTTCAAGTGAGGCTTTAATTCTAGCTGCTACCTTTACTAATTTCTGTTTAGATCTGGATGGCGGTGTCTCCATTTGATGACTAGATGAGTTTTACTCCATTTACTGAATTGGCTAAAACTCAATTAGACTTGAATTTTAGTGTTCCAAGTGTGATTGCCATTTTAAATCATTTCCTATCTAACAGCTGATTAGACTACGATGATGGTGCCTAAATGGTGTTGCGCCAAGTGAGTCTTCCAATTAATTTTATAATAAATACACATATCCATAATCTCTCAACTAAACATTTTATTAGGTACCTATACATATGCATATATATATATAGTAAAATATTGCATAATTGACAATGACTAACGCCTTAACCAAATCGCTCTCCAGCATAAATAGATTTATATGAATGCCATTTTTTGTTTCCGTACAATTAATGATTTCCTTAAGTTCAGATTTGCATAAATTTTTCATTATTTTCAATGAATCTGAATGGAAGCATTTGTTAGATGCTATAAAGGTTTCCCTTAGCTTTTTGTTTGTGTTAATTGCAGCACACGGGCATGCAGCAGTCAATCGCCGCCATGTCACATGATGCAACACTTAACCTACAAGTTTATGAATTCAGAATTATATACCGGCACGCGTTCCACAGCCAACACAACTTAACCTTTGCTGGCGAGCTTACTTTTGTTGTTCTTTGCAAAATAAGTAAAACATATGTACAGAAAAAATAAAAATTTGCTTCGTGAAATGTTTCCAATTGCTCTTGACCTTGATTGTTTTCATGTGTGTGAGTGTGTTAAGATGCAGACTTGTGTTCGTAACTGTGTGCAGCTCAAGTGCTGCCAGCACATATGGCATATGAATGCATTACACATTACACGTTACACTTTTTGACTTGGTTGGTTGCCTTATTTTTGCTTTTGAACTCAATTCCATTCATGTGACTAAAAATAGACTCAATGTTGAATGTTTTTAAATTGTTAAATGGTTTTTTTTTTGTGGTATATATGAAATTTAATTTGTTTTTTCTCAACTTTTACTTAGTAACTGTTTCTGAATAGAATCTGCTTTATAAGAACAAAAATTAAGTTGTCCGAAAAATATTCAGAAGAAAATGACAACAATTATTACACAAAATATTTTGTATTGTACAAATCAAGATTTTAAGCTTTGCTTCAAAAAAATAAATTTTAAAATTAATATCTAAACATTGTCTCTTTAAATAAAAACTAATGTTTTGGATATCGGCATAAATCCTTCAGTAGTTGTCTCTGGGAAAATCTGTTGATTTAATTGTCCGAATATAATTTTTGAACTGCAAGTATAGGAATTGAACCCTATCAACTTACAACCATGTATGTGTATGTGGTAGCATACAAAGTCACCGTACACATAATATAATTTAACATGTTAAAATTTAGAACAAATGAACAATTTTTGTTGTTTATTGTTAAGCAACCATTACACATGATTCAAAGTTGATATGGTTTAATTTTTTACACTGGCAGTTTAAAAATTATATGTGGAAAATTAAGCAAAGAGATTTCTTCAAAAACCACTGATGTTAGATATTTGGCGATATCCGAAACAAATATGTGGTCAAGTCCAAGAATTTATTTGATTAAAAAATTGTTTTTAGATTTGAATTTTTTTTTCTATTACCAACATTTTTTATTCGAAATAGATTTCTTGTCATAGGACATAAAATTCTTATTTAAAATGTATTATGATAAAATTTACAAGCAAATGGAAAAGTACCATTGGATAATGGCCAGCCTCGATTTAAGCAATCAATTGAACTATCATTTGAAGAAATCTGCTAAGCAAATCCATATAAATGAAGACTATTAATAAACTAAACTGTGTCTTATGGTGCGAGACAAAAAATCCCTTCATTAGGTTTTATCAAATTCGTTTGGAGAAACTAGATCCAAAGATTAACAGAATCCACAGTTGTTAATATTCTTTAATCCTATCTTTGAATAGGATTATGTTTTATTATGTCTACATATAGTCTACATACATAGTGATAATGTTAGGTTTCAGTATTGTTTTATACTATCTATGCGATATATACGCTCATGATAGTTATATGAGCTGCATATAATAAGCCTGAAATTTTATAAGCCTGAAATTCATAAATATTTTTTAGAATAAATCAGCAGTCAAGAGAGGCAACTTTGCACTAATATAAGTTTTCAACAGACAGAGACAATACAAAACCGATTTTTGAACAGGAAGTTTCAAAGATAAAGTTCCTTCGAGTCTACTACTTAACATTTGGAAAAATTTTAGTAATAAGATATTTGCAGGAAATTTAAATTGTACAAACAATATTCTATAAAAAACTATTTTCATAAAACATAAAATGCGGTCTTATTATTCTTAAGTTCAAATTTAACTTAACAGTTTCAAAAATGCATTTACTTAGAATTATATTCATATATATATACTATATAATGCTAATAACGAATATAATTAAGTCGTTGTTAGATGATTAACTACCTAGAAGTACAAGGATCCAAGTAAGGATCCAAGTCATTTCCTAACAGTTGGAAAAATGCAGAAAAATGGATTACTTAAGTTAAAGACCTTTAGTAGAAGTTATTAACCTTTATTAAAACTGGCAGAGACAGTTTGACAAAAAGTAGTGTACAATATATGAGTACATGTAAATAAAACTGTAGTCTTCTTTATTCAATAAAGCATTTTGTTCAGAGGGTTTCTAATTCCATTATCTACGGTATATTTGTTGAATTGTACTTATCCATTCTTTTTGAAAATAGATTTCACTACATTTAAAACAATATTAATTTAAATTAAGAGGAAATAATTGAAAATAATTAAACATTAATTAATCCATGTCAGTATGAACTTGTTCCAACTTTTATATATTGTACATATATGGAGGCCCTATGCTCCAGAAGGAATTCAGAAAATCGGTAGTACATATTGTATGTATTGTATTAAAGTTATACAACTTCTCCATTAGACAAAAATTATTTTGTGTCATTATATAGAATTTTCCATATGTTTAAATTTAAAATTTAGATAAAGGGAATCAATCGCTTGATATCAAATTAATGTTTTTTAATAATATAATCTATTTTTCAAAACTTAGAGGACAAGTTAACAGTACGATTATAAGTATTAGAGCAATATGTCATATCACCTTGATGTATTTTATATTAATTTTTTTAACCTTAATATTAATTATTAATAATTTAATAATATCATTTAATTTTAAATTTTCTTAGCTGAATACAAGGTCTATAAAAGACGTTATGTGATATTAGCGATATTCACGTTGTACTCCGCATGTAATGCCATGCAATGGATACAGTACAGTATTATTAACAACCTGGTCACAAAGTAAGTAATAATAATAATTATAATCAAGTACTACATAAATTTATACACT